TGCACTTAAATCATCTTTCTAAGATTATTTTCCACTCTGCCAGTAGCGGTAACTGTAGTTGTTGTATTTATTTATGGATTTATTCATATATCTTGGCCTAGAATAGTCAAATGTAACGTCACCAGGTCTTAAAAATTTTTTAATTCTTTTGATTATGTGTAACTGTGTAATTACAAAATGTATAAGGCATAGCAGTTCAAGTGTTTTAGAGAGATGTTGACTGAATTGTCATTTTGGACACTGTAGTTTGTGGTGCTGTGGATTTGTACTGCCTTATACTGAGAGGTATGGTTGTTGTATCAGAATGCATTGGTTATATCGAGGTGTACTGAATAGACTGAGTGTGTCCGGATGGAGAGAAAAGAGGCACAAAGAACAAGAGTTCTTATTGAGTGTGTTGAAAATGTAGAATCGGTCCATTTTGGGTTTGTCTCTCTGGTTGTTGAATATTCATATACAGACTAGTTCTGCATTTTCACTGTTAGATTTGTTGACTCAGTTTGTCAAAATCAGCTGCCTGTAAACAATCTCTGTGGGATTTAATGTTTTATGACTTCTCTGTGCTGAGATATTGTGCTGACCGAGATTAAAGATAACCGAGGGCAAAGGTCATGTTGGTGTTGTTGGTAATTACCTCAGTACATGCAGGGTTTTTTAATATTTAGTTGAAAGCTTTTTTAGATTTTCAGTCACTGCTGCTGGAATTCAGCTTCAATGCAAAATATCTTGTTGTGTTAGACGTTGTTAATTAAAATTCATCTGAATCACTCCTGATGCTGTTGTGTTTTGCGATGATGTGTGACTCAGATTGTGTTTGTGTGTGTGTGTCTTTTTGCTGCTACTCTTTAAAAATAATCCTGAATGGAATCATTGAAAAATACATGAAACTGAATGTTAATGTGTTTTTGAATTCTTGGTAGAAGATAGAGAGAAGTGTTCATGTTTTTCATGGCCACAATAGTTTCTGCTTTGTGCTTGGAAGAGGAGGGTGAAGTGAGGGAGTTGCAGTGTGCAACTACACCGCTAGATGCCACTAAATCCTAAACACTGGCCCTTTTTAAATAAAACCTTTCATCTATGCCACACTTCATCTTGCTTAGTGTCTACATGTAACTCAAACATATTCAGTGGTTAAATGATCAAGCTCTTAGCAGGCAGTTGTTTGTTTGCTAGATTTAATGTTGTGTTTGCCTCAAAAGCTGTGGAGCATTTCTGTATTCATCCTAAAGTATGTTAATATTTGGCCTTGATACTTCAAGGGTAGAACAACTGCTGGCAATAAGCAGCATGTCATGAAATGTATTGTATTTGTCCATCCTGCTAATCCACTTTCCACTTTGATATTCCTGACCCCAGTAATAGCATGAAATACATAAATCCTGCTTAAATAAGGAATTGATCTGTGAGTCGATAGAAAGTTGAATGTCACCAGATTTGATGACGATTAATAATTTATCAAGGAAAAATGCCAAACATTTACTGGTTTGAGCTCCTCAGATGTGATGATTTCCTGCGTTTGTCTGTTTTATATGTCTGGAAATCAAATATCTTTCAATTGCAACAAACGCTTAGTTTCATTATCGATTAATCTGGCAATTAATAATAACAATGAATAAGTAACAGATTAAGTTGTCAGACAATTAACATAATTAATTAATTGACTAATTGTTGTAGCTCTGGTTTGAACAAGCGATTCAAAGACATCACCTGACTCTGACCTTGTCTGACTTTTAAGACATGATATTTACCCAAAGGTGTTTAAAAGGTTATTTGATGAAGTGAAAAAATAACTCACAAAAAACTCTTCCTTTGCCTGAGCGAGACATTTTTAAAAATGTTTTGTCTCCCTCTCCAAACTTTTAATTGGCTTATGGATGGTATTTCTTGAACAGAAAAAACAAGGTGAAGTAATAACAACCTTAAAATCCAATATCCTATTCACATTGGATGAGGGGATATTTATCTAGAGGCCGTGTTTATATAACAGCCCCCCAGGACTCCACCACTGTCTGTTTTGGAGCCTCTTCTGACCGAAAAATGTTTTTCATGTTTTTATTACTAGCAAAAAGAACAACAGGGCTCCCTCTGTGTCTCTGCATGTGTTTCATTGTCTTCGTATGCTCACAGAGTTCTTGATATCAGCTTATTCTGAGAAAAGAAGCCCAGTTTCTCTCCTACCTCTTAAAACATCTGTTAATGATGATGTATTTTACAGTGGAATGTCTCAGATGTTTTTCATGCTTGCTGTTAAAGGGCCATTGTGCAGGAAGTTGTAGCATCTACTGGTGTAGTTGGAGATTACAATGCCCTTGCCTCACCCTTCCATTCAAAGTGTGTAGGAGAAACTATGGTGGCAGCGAAACTTGCGAAAATGTGAAAGGCCCTTTGTATAGTCAGTGTTTGGTTTGTCCGTTCTGGGCTACTGTAGCAATATGGTGGTTTAACATGGCGGTCTCCGTAGAAGAGGACCTCTGTGGATAACAAATGACTCATTCTAAGCTAACAAAAACACAATGATTCTTATTTTTAGGTGATTATAAACTAATAAAAACATACCTATAAATATATTCCATTTCTGTCAATACATCGTTCTAAATATTACACACTGGACCTTTAAAGTGATGACGTGCTGACCACTTAATGGTGCACATCCTAATTGTCTTGCAACTAATGATGGCTAATTTAAAAAAATATATTTGATGAGGAAGACGTAGCGTTTAATTAAAATTAATACATGAAACAAACATAAATGTAATATTGCCCTCATGGTTGAATAATCAGTACTAAGGGCACTTTAACCTAAACATTGCACGTGATAATCTGGCGTCATTTGGGAATCACAGCATGGAAATTGTGTTGTTTAGTTTTGGCCCAGAGACTCAAAACAGAGATCAACTTCAGTACACCTCTGTGGCTGTGACTCCCAGAACTGGTGATGAGCTCACTGTAGACGTAGCAGCCGCAGCAGTCGGATTGTTTGTTTGCCTTTGGCTGTTTTCTTACTTCGTACCTATCCGTCCCCAATGTTCATACTCAGATGTTCCTTGTCTGGGCTTGCTTTAATAACCCCCCCCCCCCTTATGTCCCCCAGTG